TAGGAGAGTCCAGAATGGTTGACGAGAAAATTATCTTACCCTTTAATCCTGGATATCAGTGCTCAGCCAGAACATGGGCATAACAATCACGGTGGTGAATTAGTCTCTAAGGGAATGGGAAAATAATACTGTATGTGAATACTGTGAAAACCAAAAAGAGTTTGGTTCTGGAATGGAAAATAAATTACAAAGATTACTTTATTGGCAGCAATCCATAGGGAATGTTATGTCTTTATCCTTTTCATTATTAATAGTATATGTCATTCTGTTCATGCTATATGTAGTTTATATATATATATGGACCAGAAAACTGAAGCTTAATTTCAAATCCTTATTTTCAAAAGCAAAACATATCAGGCAATTGCTGAATAATTTGTTGCAAGCAATCATTTTGGATATATTTCAGTACTATGAAAGCTATGTTTGCTAAAAATGATCACTTTTTAGATCCATTTCTTTAACTTCAAGAAAAAGCCAAGAATATCCCCTACTATTTCTCCTATCCAACATTTAATTCATCCAATGATTTTTTCCTTGGGGCTGGGGATTTAGCTCAGCGGCACAGTCTGCCTGGCAAGCGCAAAGTCATGAGTTCAATTCCTGGTACCGGAAAAAAAAACAAAAAAAATAACAAAAAAAGATTTTTTCCTTGGTTGCCTTCTATTCACTAGATACTCTGTTGGTTCTTAGGGATGTAGTTGCCAAGAAAATAGAAATACCTTATTCTTACAGGTTATAACTTCTAATAGAAGCAGGTGAGGTATAAAACAATTATAATAATAATAAATTATGATATATTGGTAAATAATAAGTCCAATAGAAAGAAGAAAACAAAGATGAGGTTAGAGAATCCTCAGTGGGAGTTAAAATTTTAAGTAAATTGGTCAGAAGGTAATATTTGAATGAAGACTTAAAAGAGGTAAAGTGATATCAGTCATTCTGACCAATGGCAAAATTAAAAATAATTTTTAAAAGGATCCAGAGAAATAGATTTGAAGTGAGCAGGTAAAACATATTTAGAAGATGCTATGATCATTTCTCTACAAAGACAATTTAAGGAAATCCACACAAAAAAATCACTCAGGCTAATAGGAATTCAATAGATTTTCAAGAAGTACAACAATATAAAAGTCTATTGCACCTTTTAAAATCAGTTATAACAAATTAAAATACAACAAAAACTAAATACTATTTATCTAAATAGCTTGGATTTTGTTTTACAGAGAAAATATAAGCTTTTCATAAACACATACACACAAACACACGCTTTCACAATTTCTTTAAAATCTGTAAAGTAAACCAAGCCAATTGCTAAACAATATAATGATTTTTCAGTTGTCTCCAACTTACTGTACAATTGACTATTTCAATTTCCAATAAAAAAATTCTAACTGGAGTTTATTGGGAAACTTGAAAAACTGAATCAAAAAGATTCACACAAATGACTATGACAGTTTTGAAGAGATTGCTTCTATTTATTGTATGAAGAGATTTTAGTTTTATTAATCAAATGTTATGACAGTAATAAGAAAAAAGATAAGTGAGTCAATTGACTAGGAGAAAGCATTCAACAGATGTTTTCAAATATGGGTATTTGTAATACAGCTGAGCTGGCATCAAAAACCTGGCAAAGAAACAAAACATGGCAAAGGATTGAATGTTTGTTAAATCATATTGAGCAAATTGATTCATCATGAGGAGGAAAAACAACTATGATCCCTGTATTACATCAGATTCAACATAAACTCCAAGTGGTCTGTAGATCAAAGAGCAAGTGTATAATATTAACAAGAGAAAATACAGGACAATACCCTTGGGATTCATTGTATAAGAAGTGGGAAATGTTTATGAAATAATTTAAAAGTATATTTTATTAACTGAAAATGATTGATTTATTTCAACAAGAGACCAGAAGCTGTGAAGGATCTGCGATTGTACCTTCCTTGAAGCTAATAATTTAGTATGCCAGTTTCATGGATGCCCTGAGAAGACGTAAGCCTCCTGGGTCAGAGACAAAGGGTCTAGTTACCCATGTTGCAGCAGGCAGCATGACTTTCATGTTTCTGCTGGGATTCGCTCATGTCTTTCAAGTTTTATTGGAGCAAAGTATGTGGGTCTAAATAGATGTGGTATAAACACTGGCATTATAGCCAAGAAAACTCCAAGCTTAGGACGTTTCAATCTTTTATAAAAGGATTGAAGCAAACCTACCTAGGTTTTTGTCACGTAGGGATATGCAGTCTTTATTATGCTAGATGTGAAATATGCCCTATGCTCCAGAGGAAAGTAGTGTCTCTGTTTTCTAAGGCTGTTCACTAGACAGTCACCTTTGGAAAGACCATCTAGAACCACACTGTCAGCCTCTTCGCTTGCACAGTGCCTTAGTCATGTTCCTATTGAGGAGGCGCAATACCGAACACCTGCAATTTAAAGGGGCAGATGTTAATTTGCCTCATGGTTTCAGTGCAGGATCTGCAGGCTCCCAGACACAAACAGAATGGTAGAGGGTCATGGCAAAGGAAATGGTGCTTAACCAATGGCATTCCCAAAGCAGCGAGACAGGGCGGAGCCAGGGAAGAGAATGCAGCCTGCAGGGCCGTGCCCTTGGTGCTCACCTTGAATCAGATCCCACCCTCTAACAGCACATTCAGTACTAAACTCATCACGGATAAACCCACAGGTTAGGGGGACATTTTAGATCTCAATCATAATGCAAGAAATGCAAAAATGCGATAGACCCACAGGAAAAAGTCTGTGAAAAAACTGATAAAGTGAATACATAGTTTACACACTTAATGATTTTGTGTTATAGTTTTCTAACTTTTACGATAAGGATGGGAAGTCAATTACATAAAAGCAGAAGTTTTGAATAAGCAACTCATATAAGTTGAAACTGAAAATACTAATAAATAAAAAATGCTCAACTAGTAATTATAGGAGTGAAAATTAAAATAAATAAATAAAAGATCTCAGTTTTCACCCATCAAACAGAAAAAAGTTATATTTTGATTAACATCAAACATGAGCAAGGTTGTATAACCAGTAGTTTTTTGTTTGTTTGTTTGTTTGTCTTTTTTCCAGTACTGGGAAATGAACTCAAGACCTTATGCTTGCCAGGCAAGCGCTGTGCCACTGAGCTAAATCCCCAGCCCCAACCAGTAGTCTTTATATGCTACTAGTAACAGTATATCTAGGAATATCATTTTGAGAATGAATTTGGATTTATTGATGAAAATATTATGCATATGTGTTAGGTCCAGCAATTCTATTTCTGGGAATAAACCCCAGAATACCTTTGCTCAGATATGTTTGAAGATATTTAACTCAGTAATATGCTGAAAACTTATCTACATATCTAGTGGAAGTGAAAATGACTAACAAATGGTAATACATACATATGATTAAATATTACTCAGTAAGTGGAAGGAATATATAAGTCATACAAAATGTAAAATACAAGTAAGTGAGAAGTATACGAAAATGTAAAAATAATATTCATAGTACAATGACATTTATGTTGATTTTATAAACATGCATAAAATAACTGAATAATAAATAGCTGAATAATCAATTATGTTGATTTTATAAACATGCATAAAATAACTGAATAATATACTTGCTTCCCTACAAACATGCTCTATTCCCTTTTCCTTCTTTGCTTTTCACTAGCTCTGATCACAACCTGAAATTTCATTATTTTTTGTTTTTGAAAATCATTAAAACATTTTGTTGCAGGCATTTTAAATCCATAAGTAGATATTTATCTCAAATTCAAAATTACTTTTTGAGAGTACAGTTTTTAATTTTGCTGTTTATTTAAATTCATCTTAATTGATATATAAAATGTACAGATTAATGGAATACCTGATGTTTCCATACTTGTATACATTGTATAATATTTAAATTATATTTAATGTATCTAGATCGCCAAACACTTATCATTTCTTTTTGTTATTACTTATGTATTGGTTCTACTAGTTGAGAGAAACTATTCATGCAATCTTGACGATCTTTCCCTTAGTGAATCCCACTTTCTTCTCTACAGTCTGGCACATAAAGTGAGTTCACAAAGTATTTCTATAGATTGGCATATTTTTGGATGTACTTATCTGTAAATAATTGAACTGAAATAAAATGTCTCCTGTAATTTGAATATCTTCAGCCTACACTGGCTGTGAATTTAAAGTCACCTAATGTCATTCACCACCACTTTTCCTTTTGCTCCCACTTCATTATATGGGATTTCTGGTGTCCTGAAAAAACCACTGTGGAACTTCTTGGAGTCCTATGAGTTGGCATGACCATCTGCTAGCCATTGCTGATTCAGTATCTTCTTTGCTCTGTCTTCTGATACGGCAGGTCCTTCTTGTCTTTTGCTCATGGAATAGTCTAGAAGATGACTGAGACCTCTGGCATTTCCAAATGTCCACTGTGAGATATCAAAGCCCTTCCCAGGGATGGCGTAAGTTGATGCTCCCACCATCCTAATGTTCTAGGCAAGTAAAGATTTCCTTAAGTAAAGTTAGACAACATCTGGCTATCCAGCTGCAGATGGTATTTGGTGATTCTGGGCAGGATTGCAAAGCCCTCCTTCTAAACAATCACAGGTACATGACGTACCGTATTGCTTGCTCCAACTGAACGGTAAGGCAAGCAAGATTATTGTTTCACCTTCCTTTAAAAAAATCAAGCAGGAAAATAACTTCTTACCTTTCAGTTTTGGGGAAAAACTTTTTCAATGTATCACTGGCTAGCTACTTCACAAATGTCTGGACTGTGGACGATAGCTATTGCTCTCACTGATATATTCACATCCAAAAGGAGGAATGAATGTCAGAGTGTGTCAGCCAGCCTTACAGTGGCTAGACACAGTACCCAATGCCCACAATTCACAGGATGAGAGGTTTAATCTGGAGCATGGTTTCAGGAGATTAAGAACCTGTCTGGCTGGTTCTGAGGCAGGAACACGGCACATGCGCACATGCAAAGAGGAGCAAGGCTGCACAGCTCCTGGTGGCTGAGGAGCAGAGCCGGAGAACAGAGACAGAGAAGAAGGGGCAGAGGACCAGACAGAGACCCCAAGGTCATGGCTCCGTGACCTGCCAGACACACTCAGAAATGTGCCCCACGAGTTCCCAGGTGGGTCCCAAAGCCAATAAATTCACACTGGTAACTGCCACAGAGAGTGTGACCGAGTCTTTAAAATTAACAAAAGACAGGAGATTTGGCACTCTGTAACTCAAGTGTATCATTGGGGAGAGAGCAGGTACAGCCTTACAAGCACCTAAAGCATCGGGGACTTTACATAGGAGCACTTCAAGGTGCTAAATGTCTGGCAACACATAAGCATTTTTCTCCAAAAACTGAGAAATATAAAACTATTGTATTTAATTTTGTTTATTGAGAGAGACAGACATGCTCTGGTAGTGAAAGCAAAACTTGGAGCCATTTCAGTTTCTGGGCCCCAGGCTTCGTTCGGCTCGCTCTTGTATCATGAGAAAGCCCAGCAGTATTTCCGAGAATCAGTGGCTTTCTCCAGTATCCTAATTAACATTATCTGCTTTCATAAAACTGGCTCTCACAGCTCAGGCTGTGGTAAGGGACTCCTGAAGGTGTAGTAACTGTTGCCACTCCTGCCTCCTCAGCTACTGCACTGCCACCTTCTAAAGTGAACATTGCAAACATTCTAGCATAAAGAGTCTCTAAACTCAAGAAATTTGGTTTTGTAAGAGAATAGATCATAAAAAGAGACTTATGAAGTCTTTTTTTTTTGGCCAGGAAAGTTGATCGTATTTTTTTCTGTCCTCGTGATTCAATCTTAATTATTGGATATTTTTTTTCAGAAGGTATTTTTGAGGTTTTTTTGCTATTTTGTAGTACAAAACAATCTGTCCACTATTCCAAATCACAGGTTAGAGAGCGGAAGACACTCCCCAGAGAGAAGTCTGTTCTTTGAGATTGGATTGCTGTGACGGGAGCCTGAACTTCCTGGCTCCGCTCACTGATAGCCATTTCTCACAGTTCTGCAGGTTGGAAGACTGAGGTCAGCACCGGTGTGTTTGAGCTCTTGGTGAGGATCCTTGTCCTGCCTTGGCATGTGCATAGGGCATGGGAGGAAGAGAGATGTGACCTTTTTTATCAGGGCGCTGATCCCACCCTTAGGGCCTCTCCTTCATGATCTAATTAGCCCCAACCACTTCCCAAAGGCTCCACCTCCAAATGTTACTCCCTTAAGAGACAGCATTGCAACGTGAGAATTTGAGAGGGACACAACCACGCAGTCCACTGCACCGAGAGCCAGTTTCTGCTGGAGAACAGACTTCATCTGGAGAGCACCAGAGGATGCTCTCACTGTCTGACTTCAGCTCTTGAGAACAGTATTTTTGGAAAGAAGAGCCAGTGTGCAGAAGATAATGAGATATTTTTCCTTTCATATGTGAAAAAATAAGTGTCTGATACTGAAGGTTTTCAGATGGAAAAATGGGGTTTCTGTAGGAGTAGTGAGTTCTGTATAACTGGTGATTTTAAGCAGGGCTTGCATGGCAAGGAAAACCTTGAAAGGCATTCAAATGACCCATGTTCCTTCATGTATTTCTGAAAGTTTATTTCAGGGTTACAGCTGCAACTATCTTCATCCCTTATGTAACTTCTCACGTCTCAGGGGGCAGTGTTTGGACTTGCACTTCAGTTTGAGCAGTCTCCTCTGATGAGGACATATGGAGATTTTCATATTTTCTTTGGCTTGATGGGCATCACGGGCGCAAACGGAATGAACGAAATGAGAAATGAAATGTCCTCAACAAAGCGCACACTGGCAAGCACTGCAGAGGTGCAAACCCTTTGCATCTTGCAAGTTCCCTTCCTGTAAAAACACATGTGGTGCAAGCAGACCAGGGCACTTGCCACTGCTTTGTCATTTGCATTCCTTCCCTCTCACTTTATTTCTCTTTATGGAAATTCAACTAGTTTTACCTATCACAAATTAAGTGGAACATTCTCCATAAAATAATTCCTTGATGCTTGAAATAAATATAATTCTGTGATTGATGCTTTGTTTTTTTATCTATTCTTTTTAGCACTTGGTAGGTACTTCTTATTGTTAATAAACACCTAGGTTATTCTACTATTCATTACTGTTTTTTTCTAGAAATTTCTTTTCTTCCTTATGAAAAAAATCTAATTTTTTGAGAACAGAAATTGCGTCTAATAGATTTTTCCATTCCCTCAAACGTCTAGTATTCTACCTTATAGCTAGTAAATCTCAGTAGATGGATACTAATGAATGGATGAATGGCTGGAACATGCTTAATAGAGAAGGGACAAGTTGCCTCTTTGCCACAGGATTTCTCCTTGTCTTTCCTCACTCATCTAGATCATCTTTTATGTCAGATTTTGGGCTGGAAATGATAGGATAAAGAAAATATTATGGATTGAATATTGGGAGTTTGTTGGATGTAACTGCATGCAATATCATACTCTCAAGGATCAAATAACAATTTTTTTAGCCTTTCAGATAAACAGAATTGTTAAAATGTATAAAAGACCAAGTCAAGCTTCTTATTATGAGAAAGATCAAACAGAACATGATAAAGTGGGTTTCCTTCAGAAAGGGGACTTTTTCAACAGCTTGAAGTAAAGCTCCGTCAGCAACTCTGGGAGAGAAGAAGGAAGGGTGATTTCAAGCCCAAAGAAAAAGTTTCATAACACCAGTGACTCTCTTCCAAATTTCCCTGTAGCTTTCATCCATAAGGAAATTGTTCCACTATATTTCAAGCAATATACATTATTGTTTTAAGTATGTGGTGATTGCCAGCCAACTAAAACGCTGAATTGGAGACAGTGTACAACTACCTTGGCACTATGTCCTTAATGTATATTCAGAGGGTTAAAACCAAGTAAAGCAAAGAGTGCGACAGCCAGGTTTAACAATGACATGGTGGAAAATAAAGTCTTGAGACAAGCCAAAATATAATTTCTCCTGTGACTCTTCTTTCCAGACAGCACTGAAAAACACCTTCCCAGCACAATGGTCATTGAATCCAATTATGTATTTTTAGACACAACTGATTGTTCTTTTTTCCCTTTCCATTTCCAGAAAATTCTGCACATCTGGAAAGAACAGCAGTGAAGAACAGGAACTGGCATATCTGTGCTCTGCTCCTACTGGGCATGTTTCATTTAATTTCCTCTGTTTTTATGGTGCTTTCCTGTGCTGCTACCCCAGACATTCAATAAAACACCTTACCTCGTAGAAATCATAAGGAAGGAAAATCTGACTGAAGTTTTAAGTGTCTGATCACCAGGATGACCCAGAAAGGCAATCAGGAGAAAAGGTTTAGGTCTAGTAACCAGCATCTCTTCTTGCTCTCTGCATATAGATGCTCCTGACTTTGATACAACTGTCCCTTCAGAGCTTGACTCTGTAACCTATCCACCGCCTCAAATTCAGAAGAGAATACCTGAAATCAGATCTTTGAGTCAGTTTTCCATTTGCTATTTGCTTTTCAGGTCCATACTACTCATTGCTCCTCAGCAAAAATAGCAAGTAATTTTGATCGAAGGAAAAAATGTTTATTTGGAGCTAGCTCTGGAGGTGGCATGGAGGCCTTTTTCTCAAATCTCTGTCTCATCTTGTTCAGATGAGCAAGAATTTTCAGGGCAGGGAGGGAGAGGAGAAATACAGTGAGACACTAGACAAGGAAATTTTCATCCTCTTTTACCCCAGAGCCATTCTAAACTTTCTCCCTCCCTTGTGAAAATGGAACAGACCTCCATCTCTTGGGGCCAGCATCTGCATATCCCTTTTGGGCAGACAATAGCAGTGTTCTGATAGAGGCACTTCTTTGTTCATTCATCTGAGCTGGGAGGAATGACAATCTTGGGTTTATGCTCTCAATATGAGGAAGTTGGAGAAGCATCTTTTCTATAAAAGAAAAAAAAACCTATTTTTTTTAAAACTTTTTAGCCTCTTCATTATACATTCTTTAGTGAAATCATTTTTCCCAGTAGGCAACTGAGAATCATTGCTTTGAATCTGTTTTATCCATAAAATATAAAGAACTAGTGATGGACATCATTTAGAGAAGGATCACAGTGTGGCAGTCAGGAAGGAATTAGATTGGGCTGCAAAGTTCAGCACCTGAGTCAGGAACTGAATCACCTAAGCATGATAAGGAAGCAGGGGAAGGTAGAAGTGTCTGGGTGATTAGGGAAACCATGTTTTAAAAAAAGACTTCAAATAGATATAGAACTCCAAGCACTTAGTTTCTGGGGACTGATTTGTCTGAAACTTACTGGTTTTTAGCAGGTTACAACATCTGAATAAGTTTCAGGTCTTTGCCTCATAGTCACGTGAAAAGTGAAGAGGTCTGTGAGTGTGAGGGTTGCACTTAGTACATAAGAATGCAGAAAAACAATGAGGGAGTTGTGAGTGAGAGACAAATTCTGACAACTCAGTCAACTTTCAGGTTTCAACTTTCTTGTCCTTTGAAAAATATTCTAAATTAATTTTTCATCACTATACTGTCATCCTAACAAAAACTCACTGCCAGGGATGCAGAGAGAGATTCATATCATATCTCTTTTGACAGAGATGATAAATAAATCTCTTGGTTTAAAATAAAATCCTTCATGCTTTTCCTTCTTTCCCACTCTTTCCTTGCTCTTTTGCTTCTCTGAATTCCTTCCTTCTTTTCTCCATAATTTGTTCAAGAAGACACATGTGTGGATGTGAGCACCATTATCTGTGCAGGGTGGATGCAGCACCCTGCCTGGGGATTCTCGGGTACTGAGTTGGGTAAGGACTGGGGAGGGAGCACTGGTAACAGCTTGAACACAAGTAAGGTGGGAAAGATCCTTGACAGAGGTAGCGTGGTGGAGTTCCAGTGCTAAGTGTTGGGGATGAGTGGTGTGAAGGATGTGTCTGTAGGTTGGATGACAGTAGCATTCTGAGAGTCAAACAGGTTGAGGGGTTTGTGTACATCAGGGAGTGGCATGCAGATGAGGACAAAGATGGCTTTGATAGGAGTTGAGAACACGGAAAGGGAAAAAAAAAGAATCACTGAGTCAGATTCAATCCTTTTGGAGGGAACAAATGTGGAGAAAGAGAAAACTACAGTGAGCCTTTAGATGGTGGACTGGGAATGAAAATATCAATTTGGACTCATAGTTTTCAATGGTAAGATATCTGGATACAGATATCTAGCTATTCAGCTAGCCAGAAAGACAAACAGATAACATGATTATACACAGTATAATCTGAGTATTTCTAATTCTGTGTTCTAGGAGCAGTAGTACCTCAATTGCAATGGGTACATTTTTCACTTACATCTTGGTTTCCAAATATCATTCTCCACTAAAAGGAAATCTAACTTCTTGGAAAATTGTTAATTCTTGGGCTGGGTAAAGGAAAGTACAGAGGAGCTGAATCATCTATTTTTGCCAGGAAATAACGTAATATTCCTACAATTATAGATTCAGGTGAAGAAGCCACACAAGCATGTTTGCAGGGGTTCCCACTGATTTAATAATCAAAAAAGTAAGATAGTAACAAAGTACAACATTAAAAAAGAATATATGTTGCATGCAGGTATGAATGAATACCTAAGAAAAGGTGAAAGATTTTCCTGAGAAAGGAATGCCAAGTAGTAAATATAGAAGGAATATTTTTACAACCATCACAATAATGAAGAATGCAGGAAAAAACTTCAAAGCATGTGAACGCGGATGAAAGATAATACATAAAATACTACATGGAAAGTGCCTCTATACAAATTACTTATCAATTACAAATGTCACAGAGACTCTATTTATGATGAGGAAACCTAGAAGATACAACTTTCATTGCATATGCCATCCACAATATGAACTGAATTTGTTTGTAATTGATGGAATGCACTAAGAATATCATGATGTCAGAGATCTGATATATCTACCTCAAATACTTGAATCTAATCATGAGAAAAATCAGACAACATAAACTGGAAGATATACCACAAACTAACTGGCCTGTAGCTTTTAAAAGTGTCAGCACACAAGTCAGGGAAAGAGGGAGAAATGGATCTAGCCTGAAGGAGAGTAAATAGACATGACAACTAAATATTGCTGGATTCTTTCTGTAAAGGATAGTATTGGAAAAGGGAGACACTTGAAGTCTACGTGTGCATTTAACTCTTTTTGATGGGGTTATACATATGGGGTTATATTTTGGTTATGCAGAATAATGCCATTATTTGGGAGAAGTTTGTATTAACAAATTCAGAAGATGATGGGATACAAGGTTGGCATTTTAATTTAAAATCATTTAGGAATAATGAACAAAAAGTTCTTGGATTATTCTCTTAAAGTTTTTGTAAGTTTTAAAATTATTTTAAAATGAAAATGTAAATATATACACAAAAAAGTACAGGTAAAACTAGGAAAATCTGAGCAAGATTGTGGATTGTATCGGTATCATATACAGGCAGTAATGTGGTATCATAGTTTTGCAAAATAGTGCCATGAAGGGAAATTTGTTAAATGGTATATAGAAATTTTTGTCTTATTTTGTTCAACTTCCTGAAATCCGTGATCATTTCAAAGAGATTTTAATTATAAAAATAAAAAGCATTTAAGAAAACTAGTATTTACTGAGCACAGCTTCTCCGTGGATCCTTTTAAACACTCCAGGGGCTGGGGATTTATCTCAGCGGCAAAGCGCCTGCCTGGCAAGCGCAAGGTCGTGAGTTCGGTTCCCGGTACCGGAGAAAAACCAAAAAAAAAATAAATAAATAAATAAATAAATAAATAAAATAAACACTCCATAACATTGGTATTCAGTATATAGATTTGAAAAATGCAGTTGAGGTAAAATGCCTAAAATTTCATTACTAGTAAGTAAATGAAATAAAATCAGATTTAAAGAATACCTTTTATATAAATAATTATTTTAAGATTCTAGAAGAAAGATTCTAAACACAATTTCTGCAATGGAAATTAATTGATGCATAATTTTTTTCAAAGTGAAATTTAAAATAATAGGTATTAAATTCTCTGTTTAGGCTACAGGGGTAAAGAATTTTGATTATTAAGTTTATACCAAACAAAAATTTAAATATAAACCTAAGAATAGTAATATTTTATAAATTGGCTATGAAAAGAGTCTCAATATCTAAAAGTGTGCAAGGATTTGTCTCAAAAATTAAATGTGAAATCGCTTAAGAAGAATATCCAAACAAGATGTAGGGAATAAATAGACTGATTGTGTACATAAAAGATCTCGTCCTCTAATATTGGCCTGTGTTAGAGATACACAATATGTTTTGTCCGGTGAAATAGGTCCTTCCATAAGAAATGAGAAGTTCTTGCTGGTTATTTGTTCTCTGAAAAAAAAAAGGGTTCATGTGCTGAAAGATACACAGTATCATGGTATATACAGAGTTACTATAATGGGTAGAAATGTATTCCTACGTAGAAGCAAATCTGGTAATTGTAAATGCCATCTTAAAAATGTAAATTCAAAAGATTAGGTCTTCTTCCTGATCGTATTGGATTTATTTCTCACATTTTTATCTTTGATTCCAATAAAGATTAAAGGGAAGACTGTGACATCTGAATCTATCCCGAAACAACTTAGGAACTCGGTCAGCTCTCTTGATCAACACTGAAGTAAAGTTTAGAATATTATCCACTAAAACTATGCTTCCAAGATAAACAACTATAATCCTAATAGCTAGTATTTGCTGACCATCTGTTGCTTGTCTATCAGCTAGCTTGTAGCTGAACAGAGAGTTGAACACAGCCCTACTTCACAGGAAAGGCCATACTCTTGGTAATTCATCCTTTGTGAACAGGGTAGAACAACTTCAGACTTCAAATGTGCTTACAAACTTCAGAAATTATTACAGATTTTTGCAAAGGATGTGCTGTTATTTATACTGAATGCATACATTGAGCATCTGAAAACCTTAACATAGTTTGTATATATTTACAATGATTTTTAAAATATTTTATAGGTTTTACAGACTACAGAACAAATATTTTTTTCTAAGAATTATGTTAAGATTTCCATATTTTTTGATAACTGGGATACATCTTCATATTAGCATCTAGACCTCCTATCAGCCTGATTAACTGAGAGATTTAAACCAGTGACCTTTCCCTGGTCTTTTAAAACACAGAGTGCTTAAAAACCATAGTTAGTGCCTTTTAGAATTACCATCTAATGCACTTAAATAATGTTCAGTTAAATGAATAATATATTTTAGATCAAAATTTAAAAATT